AGAAATTTCAGCTCTCAGGCAGTGCCCGCTCGTACTTGTGGCAGAGGTAAGTTAGAGAAGGTAAGTCTTTCGGAAGTAAAGGTGGAGTGATAAGAAGTCGAGGAATGGGAGAATTTGAAAAGGATCTTGCTGCATTCGATTTTAATTTTGAATGTTATTATCCTTAAGAGGGCAAATCTTGACGAAACGTTTACGTTGTTACGGGTGACACTGTAGGGTCAGATTTTGATGTTAACACTGGGAGGGCTGCATGTGAATCCGAAGTTTATCTGAATTATATTTAAACATTCAGCCCGTACCGAAAAGAAAACACGAATCATACTAAACGTGAAAATGTACTGTAAAAACTGCAATGCATGTAGTACGCTGGGCATCAAAGCGTTAAGACACATAATAGGACTGGAATAGAGGATGCAGTATCTTTGTACAGTAAGCGATTTGGCGTGTATCTGAAGCATTCAGTTTCTACAAACGAATCTAATACCAAAAGAACTATGGCTGTATAATTAAGAAACTGGTGTGGAGGAAATGCTAGTTGGCAATATGAGCCAAGAATCTGTACAGCCTTGGACAGACACAAATAAAATAAGTCCGTTCTGAATAAAGCACCATGGCATGGAGATGTACGGAGAGAAGGAGGTATAGATCCACACATTCTTGCCCTCGGTACCAGCCGGAGATTAGAGTGGAGGAAATTAGAAGTGTGTACTCCCAGAAGACCGAAATAAGGCGACAAACCGTTCCATATGTCGTTTCTCCACAATCAAGACCCATTGCCCTGATGATAGAGGCAGGAAGGACCTCTGAAACGTTTGTAAACTTCTACCAGACTTCACGGCTCTACAACCCGCAGTGAAAACCTCAAATCCTATATACGTACATTTCATTTTCTGTTGTAAAGCAGATGACTAAATCCAAACTGAAACTTAACCAGCTTTACTGCAATCTGATCCAACCCTGTATTCTTAGTCGGGGGTTAATTTTAGGCGTGCGACCCGCAACAGGAAGGGCGTCAACACGGCGGGCCTCCATCCCCCTAAGTTCAGGACCGCCCATCAAGTCCAAGAGACCACGGCTTTTTTTTACTCCACAAAAGTTGGCTATAAGGCAAGCAAACAGCAGCAGTTTCTCTAACATAAGCAACTTAGGATCTTTCTCTAGGCTTCCAATCTTGTCCTAGGTCAGGTCCTTCTCAGATGCAGGCGAGTTACATGCCAGCATCTGTGAAGGTCCATAAACAATGTTATCAAGGAGCCACTGTAGACAGAAGATTACAGACCAGACGATCCAAGGTGATTCTAACTATTAAGGGCAATCTATCTGCCTTTAAACCACTCAGAAGTGGCTGATACATTGTGTATCGTCACGTGCCCATTCGTATCTTTATATTTCAGTACCTGACTGAATTTCAGTGCACAGAATATCTTGGTATTCTAGTGACATTATATGTCTGGCTTCAACTCGAAGAGTCTACTGATTTCGCTCCGCCGTGAAAAGTAGGCCTATTTCTTTAAACGCTTATGGTTATTCAACTGGTCAAGTAATTCCCCGCCATTTTCAGACACCGGAAGGTGATTCATCAGATATCTTGAGCCAGTTCAGTCTACCATTCACACATTATGTCTCTAATAGTTTAACTACACAAATCCCCGAGTCTTTCAGTGGTATATACCAGATCAAAGTTTTATATTTTACGTTTCCCCCACATGTATTAAACGTTTCTTCTACGTCAAAAAGATTTATTGTTGAAGCTAATAACAGTACCCTCAGTTAGCTAAGAATTACCCTGCTTTTTATAAAACCCAAAGTTTCATAACCGTGTTCACAAGAGACCGCCACCAGTCCTTATCCTGAGCCAAATGTTTACAATCCACACCATGAAAATCTATTTCCCTAAGATCCATTTTAATATTATCCACACATCCAATAGTCGGCTTTAAGATGAACGAATTTCTCGCGTGCTACATAACCATCCCATTTCATATTTCAGCAATTGATCAGCCTATATCATAATGGCACAGAGTCCAAATTATAGAGCTCCTCACTGTGCAGTTTTCTCCAAAATCATGTACTTCGTCCCCCTTAGGTATAAATATTCTTGTCCCTTTACGTGTGAAACCAAGTTTGGCACCCATTCAAAACAATATCAGGTAAAGAGAATAAATTACGCAGTTTCTCATTATATGCTTTCACCCATTCTTTTGTCACTTCCTTTTCCTTGTTTACACACAATATCCTCAGTACCTCCGACCTCAGACATTTTTCGTCTGTATCATTTTCCTCCAGTTATGAACGCGATTCACTTCCACAACATATAACACGTAAAATAATACTTTTCGGAAGGTCACCGAACATACCTCTGGGCTTAATCATAGCGATGGAAAAACCGTCTTTAATACATAAGGTACTTGGTTTTAAAACCGGAAGAACACTATCACAACATATATTTTAATCGACCCAAAGTATCCGTCCAGCTCCTTGGCTCCTTAGCCCTGTCTAACATTTCGTAATATATTTGTATTTTACAGTGAAAAGTAAAAGCCTCCACTGAATTCCAAGCTGTAAAACCATCCCCTGTAATCTGTCTGATGGTGAGCATTCAATGTAGTCCATCCACAACCAAATAACACGAAATGCTGTAACTCACTTTAATTTCCGCAGTACTTAGCTACATGATTTACTGATGCATTGTGACCTGTATATGTTATTACATAAATCCTGACTTGAGAAAGGTGTTTAAATAAACGGCCGTGGTACACTCTGAGATTCGACGTCCAGTGTTTACCGGGAGAGAGAAAGTTCCAGGAAAATCTCTTTCATTGCAGACAATGTTCTATCCGAGGTTTTATCCAGGGCTCTGCTACATATTGAGGAATGTAATCTGTACGCTGCAACGTTCGGGTAGATGAGACAAATGAGAGAAATAAAATTGTTTGCAAAGCAGTCAAAAAAGAAACTCAAAACAACGTGTACTTAACAAACTAACTGCTTCATTAGTAGCCACAAACTTGTAAAAATACGACTACATATATGCAACATACTAGTTTATGAGTAAATAGAGTTTACATTGTATTTAAAGGCATTACATTTGAAGATTCTGCATCTCGGCAGAAGATGGAAGTGAATGGACGTAGGACACGAGACCGGGTGTACCAAGAAGTGATCTAGAGGGGCAAATGCATGAAGAAAGACGAACTACAACATCTATGGGAGAAAAAAGAACTGCATTTGCAGAAATTTGTTCGGAAAATCTGATGGAAAGAGACAACTTGGTAGATCTAGGAGTGGATATAAATGTGGGATAATATTATAACAGGCTATATCGTCAAGAAATAAGATATGAGGGTGTGAACTGGATTCATCTGGCTCAGGAAAGAAAGCAGAGGCTGTCTGTTGTAAACACGGTAATGAACCTTCAGAATTTATTGAGCAGATAAGCAGCTACTAGCTGCTGACGGATAATCCATAGAGTTATTAAATCATTAAAGGTTAGATTGCTGAAATACATTCAAAATTTTGATTCAGAAAACCATATACAAAACAAGAGACTGGTTTTAATCGAATAGTTCTCGAAAAAGCAAACTGCTTTGAAATTTCCGGGGATAAAAAATAATTTCAATCTGTTGTTATGACAGTGACAAAACTTTAGGATCCGTAACAGAAAAACATATTTTAACAAGATGACTGTGGGGATAAACCGAACCATGGAGCAATGCTTGAGGCAGACTTAGACGCTTGTTGCGCCAATGGCACACGACTACTAGCGTCTCTTGAATGGCTTCTAGTTACGTGAAGAGGGCCCAACACCAGGAGACGTCAGCACAAAAGAACAAGTTGGGCTCACTGACTCAAAGACGTCACCAGCAAAGAATCTTCCATAGTCCGGCGTAGCTCGGAAGGCAGGGGTATCGGCTGCAAGACAAACAGCTTCAGGTCCCTGGGCGTGCGCTAGAATGCCACGTTCATCCAAATTATATTTAATAATTCAGTCCGAACCGCAAAGAAAACACATGTCTTCACCGTTACAAAGTTCAACCGACTAATACTGCTAAAGAAAATATTTATTGTTTACAGCGGAAATAATACGAAAGACAAAAATACAACCTGAAGAATTGTTAATTTTTAAAGGATATGGTACATATAGTTACCAGTAGCTTTTAAAGGGGAAACTTACAACTCCATTTTATTATTATCCCATCTCAGCTCAAATCTACAAAATGGTCTCCTTTCATCACGTATTGTGTGTGTATGCGTGCTATACGCCCAGCCCTCCTCAGAGTTTTGGGTCAACAGACAACGATGACACCAACTTAACAAAAGCAAAGGGTGTATGAACGCCTAAATTGGGGAAGTTTTGTTACTGACACAGAGAGCCGGCGCGGGTCGAACAGGGCGCATAGGAAGGAAGGAAGAAAACGAAGCGAAACAAGAATAAAAGAGGAAAAACCTACCTTAAACTGGTAGGAAATAATGAAGGTTGCTTAACTCCACTCGTACTTTCATGTGTGATGCACAGAACTCCGCCACGAATAGTAGCAGCAAATCACGCACACCTATGACGTCACACGCCTGACCTGCCTCTCGGAGATGTCTTAGTAAAATCACGAGGTTCCCTAAGCAACTTTCCTATTATTTGTATGCAGTGCCGTTTTGAATAGATGTGTCATAATATTCTGAACCCAAATTTGCAATACTGTAGTTCGTAAGTACTGACATCAGCAGTGAAATCTTGATCAGTCCTTTTATGCTTACGCTAACGCGGTTTGATTGTCTCTGTTGATGGCTCTGACGTGTTCATTCTATGGGCTTTTGAATCCGGGGATTGAACCCAGGAAATTTTTGGGACCGGTTTAACACAAGGCCATTGAGACCGGAGAGGATTTCAAAGGCTGTAAGCCCCCACGATTGGAGAAAGCTGTTCGTGCCCCATTTGAACTATACCCCAGCATTTGCCTTACAACTGAAGGAAATCAAGTAAAACCTCAGACAGTAGCCGAATAGGTTGGACACTAATCGTTTCGATTTCACCTCCTTATCAGAAGCAGTCTCGACTGTCTTGCTGGGCATATCCTCAGTTAACAGTTGGTGACTTCAGACAGCCCTTGGTTCGCACAAGTGCCTTGCGTGTTTACGATCTAAGGGGTGAGTCAAGTTGCACAGTGGGCCATCGTTTGTAGTCGACTCACCAGCAACCTGACACAAATAAGGAAACACAATGGACAGCCGAGTTACTACACGGCGGACGCGGAGAGACGTGCCATGTCACCAGCGACCTAAAAGTGAGTAGGTCACTTAGCCTTCTTGTTAGCAGAATATTATACAAAAATAAATCCAGTATTTGTCTTTTATTTTTATAAAGTAGGTAGCTGATATCACAAAGACACTCAAATCGTGCAGGGAAACTAGTTTCTTTACGAGTCAAATCTAGGAGACCGTCTACAAACAAATACCAACACAACAGGCGAGGTCAGAGAACTTTTGAAATTTCCCAGATACTAACACCAATGCAAACAAGCTTTAACCTAGCCAATGCAATACACTAGAGATATAGGAACCTACCGTTAAGCAAACTAATTTCACCTGACAAGGTAGTCAAGTGTCTCAGCGTAAACGTTCCATCAACATATTCATGACCTATGTTAAGCGAAAATCACATACAAAGTACAAAATTTCAAGTTATCCAAATAAATACTAAGGTGTTTTGCAGGCATATCAGATCTCTAAGTTGATTCATAAACTTTATATGACTTGAATATATTTTTGGACGGGTCATTTACCAAGCACAGAAGAGAAATGAGAACAGAGTTTTAGCAACAAATTTTTAAGTAAAGAGAAAAATTGGAATACGTTGGTAAAGATAGAAGAATAACACAAAAACTGATATCAGAAGAAAGAGATAAGAGACTGTGGTCTAGATTAGTCTAGCTCAAAACAGAGACCAGTGGCGGATTCTTTAGAACACAGAACTGACCCCTTGATTCCACAAAACACGGCGAATCTGATTAGTTTATGAACTATTAGCTTCTCAAGAACATATCTGCTTCATAGAGTTAGATATCCTTCACAAATTTAACAAAGCGTAATAACACTTAAGTAATAATAACTTAACTAAACTAAATTTAACAGCGTACTTCTTGATAAGCTGGTGGGTTCTCAGCTGTGCAATAACTTTACCTGAATGAGAAATGTTATTAAAATTTAATATAATAAGCTTATGTATTACATGTGTTTCTTTGTTTTTAGGGCAACAAAAAGTATCCAGCTTCTGGAATCTCCACTTTACGTTAATGACACGTACATAACAGTGGACTGACTGCTGATCCAACTGTTTGTTTTTATATCATCCAGAATTCAAACACCTTGCTTTAACAGTCGTCATCTCTGCGTTCAAGTACCTGTAAGCTGATAATAATTACGTTTCATACACATCTTTCGACCTGTAATTTGATAATCACTATTATATTACCTAGAGGCAAAGCCAGTTAAATATATGTAATGATTTTTGTGCCTGTTATGAAAGTTTTTTGTAAGTGGTATTTACAAAACGAGTCCACTTCCGTCTCTTTTTTGAAGAACCACTTAGAATTTGTGTAGGATACAGCAGTTCAGAAGCAAGGAGAAAGGAATAGAAAGATAAAAAGAGAAAGAAGAATAACATGAAAGTCGAATTAAAAGAAATTTTGTTTCAAAGAAGAGAAGAGAAATGGTTCGGCTCGACTATTTGTACAATTACCTTCTCAAAGACATAACGTAAACAGTTACACAGTTGCTCATGAAATTGTTTGTGTTAATGAAACCCAAATTTTTAAAATGCTATGAAAAAACTGGCCGTATTTACCCTGCACATTTTACGCCAAAATAAGGAAAAGAATAAAAAGCTAACCCGTAGCACAATTAAAATTGTGTTAAATTATTTTTTGCAAGTGTATAAATTGAACGTATTGTGAGCGATCCTCTCTCTATTTTCCGAGATCCAACTGCAATTTAAAAGGTCAAATTGAACTTGTCCACTCGATTAAAAGCGGTTCACAGTCTATAAAATACAAAATACGGTAACTTAATGAGCATCTTTGTGTGAATTTTGTATCCGACGTATATTTACGAAATTCATAAAACCAAGTCTCAGCACAAAACATTATAAAAACTCTTATTATCTTCGCAACGGCGACATTTCGAAAAAAATACGTACATCTTTTTGCCCTATTTAGTTTGTTCATGGTTAAACGACACTGCCACCACCTTAGACTATGTAGTGTCAATGATAATATGTTTAACACATAATGAATTTGAAAGGATGTGGAAGGAAGCTACAGTGGCGTAATTCGAGGCATTATCATGGTTTTTCCCGGAAGAACTGAGAAATAACACGGAATCCTCAATGAAGGTAGGTTTTTCCCGGAAGAACTGAGAAATAACACGGAATCCTCAATGAAGGTAGCCAGTCTCTGAGTCGAGATTTGAACCTCAGGCCGTCCGAATATGTCGCGATGTTTGGTTCCAGGCGCTTTCCACGATAGTTCTACAACGATCCAAAAATAAAACTCTATCAGGATGAATACATAAACGAAATGTCCCAAGAGGGATAAGAAAACTGCAGAAAACACCCCGGCTGGTGGTCTACATGGAGTATACGGTCTGTTGTCACTCCAACATCGGCTCTGAAGAACCTTCCCACCCCTAAATCTGGCTGTGATCTCAGTTGGGGACAAAGAGGGTGGCTTTGGTTAGAAAGATGAAGGGATGGAATTGGGGTGGGGATAAGAGCGAAAAGTGAAAGCATCCAGATATATAAAACACGGTTATAGTCAAAATATAGTTAATATGATAGCCCCTTCAAAGCAGATCATCTCTGAATTATTTTTATATTCATGAATTTAGCCCATACCGCAAAGAAAATGCACTTCACCATTGCGAAAATCAGTTTCCTAATGTTATTTAACCCTTTAGGGCCCAATTATAACTGTGTGTCCCACCTGCATCAACAATAAAAAAACTATTTTGATGGGTTCTGACGATGGTGTAATACAATCCGGATTGTTGGGGTAACTGAGATTAGCTCATTCTTAAGAAACCCACAGAGTAGGAGCACTTCCCCTACACCACACCTGAAGACGAGGGCAGATCCAGTCCTCGGAACGTTGTGTAATTTTATAACATCAGACGATGGCCAAAGTTCAAAAACCTTACAATTCAAATTATAATAAGTAAGTTATACATGTATTTATGGGTTTCGCATGATTCTCAGAATAAACAACGATTATTTCCCTAAACAGCAATATTTAACAGTCTATATTTGTAACGGTAAAGTGTTTTCTCTGCGGTACGGGTCAATTCCTTAAACTTATTTACAGGAACTTCGACTTCAGAGGCTGAAGGAAATAATCCGGTGTTTAGTCTGTGAATCATACGAAATCCATTATGCAAAATGCAGAGTTGCTGATTGTCGAAGCAGCTGCCATATACAGTTACCATTCAGCATTATTTTGCGAATACAATTCTGTATTCTTAGAGTAACAAGTGAAAAGGCATAAGCTGCCTGCTCAGTGCATATCAAGGGATCCGAATAAATACACCGTACTGGATTTAAGGCAATAATATCAGTAAACGTCATTACATGAAGTTTATTTCATCAGCTGCCACTAAACTATCAAAATATTTCACACAGTACTTGCTGAATGGTTTTATTTCTGCTTCTCCTCAAATATATGATACCTTTTACAGGTCACTAGTGACTAGATTCTTCTCACTCGAAATAAGGACAGGTGGTGGGCTGTTGTGAATGCGGTAATGAACATTCGGCTTCCATATAGTAATAGTTATAATAGATTCTCTAAAAGGTCTCTGCTTTATGGAGTTATTCAAAGTCCCCTCAACTAACCCACCACCCATGGGGCAAAACCCAACGCATTCCAGACCTAAGACTTAGAAGCAGCTGAGTAGTCGCAGAAACGACCAGACAGCTTTAACCCTGAGCAGCTGGTTGGTACGTTACTCCTGTATCCGGGAATTGATCTGTGGTCACTTTGTTAACCTTCAGAACGCATACATCCTCTTATATTGATTAACTAGTAAATTAATTTGCCCGTCAAGAATGACGGTAAAATCTAAAACAGTAAGCACATAATAATAAGATTACAAAAATGAATATAAAAAGTTAACAAAAAGATTATCTAAAATTACATGATTATAGGCATGATAAAGGAAACTAGCTATTGAACACAAATCTTTGTACTAAAAGATTAAATAATTAAATAACTTCAGTCATTCAGATCAACATGAGACGAAAATATGCAAAACAAGTTACCAGACCAGAGAATTCACATGAATAGAATGATAACACACTGTTGGTCAAAGGCGAGAGTAGTTGAGAGGAGAGAGGGGGGGGAATGTATAAATTCATTGAGTGTAATTACTATCTAATACATGAATAGCAGCACAATTATTGTCGTGTGTGATTAAGGGAAACAAATTTTTTCTTTCAAATACATCGAAGTCCCTGCAGACATCAGCAGCTGATGAGCATCTAACAGGACTGTCTTTAATTGAACATAGAATAATATAATAAAAATAATAATAAACTACAAATTATTAACTTCCTCTGTGCATAATTTGCTCCTACTTTAACATTTTCTTCCTTCATACCGCAGGCTAAATTCTACAGTCAATAACAACTGTAAAGTTTGAAATGAGTTATCAAGTTAAGCACGCATTGAATATAGCTGTTCCTAGCAATATTCGAGGCGCCAGACGTGGCAGAGACTACAATAACAGCAACAGATCCAAGGAAAAGGAGAAGTGAGGTTTGAATTTTGTGTAAACGATCAAGGAATCTAAATGGTAACTGGAAGCAATTTGCCGATAAGAACATTCTGTACATTATAGAACGGCTGCAACCTTGAATACACGACATACCTTTCCAAAGAAAGGGAGAGGGGGAGAATAAAATGAATGGCAAGCAGGAAAAATAGCATAAGTGAAGAAAGCCATTCCAATTCCTTCAATTAGCTGCGCTGGCTGTATTGTGGCTGGTGGCACAGAAGAAGGTGTGACACTAGTAACGGAAAATCCAAAACGCAAAGTAATTTCTCTTCCTAGTGAATCGATTGATAATCCGTCTCTCACTGGCCTCTCCTATTAATTTATTCTATTATACATAACATGGGGATAATATTAAAATACAGCTGAAATAGTCTAAAGACGTTAATAGAATTCAAATAGCTCAGAAAAACTGAGATACCCATATCAATGAAGGCATTTTTTGAGAAAAGAGTGTTTAGAATAAATATCTGAACCCAAGACGGGCAGGGGGTTAGAAGGCTGTCGTCATTACGAGATAGGAAAGTTTGGATGATGCACTTCGTTTACCATTACCGGGATCATACATTTTCGCAGACTCAAAGAGCTCACAAAACAAAAGAAAAGAATGTGTGTGTGTGTGTGTGTGTGTGAAATGTAGGCACCGCGTCAACAATTTTTCATGTTTTCATATTCGCTTCTTAAATTTATTTTCCTAACCTATTCTGAACCTGGCAAATACAGGTCCTCAGAGAGCACACGTACATTTAGTACGGTACATCTATTTAGCGAACAGCAAATACAACAAATAAACAAAGCAACTCTGAAACCGGGTTACCAACAATCCAGACTGATATATTTTATATTTTTCCCTAGACGATCCATGGAATAGAATCTTGAAATTCTTCAAGTCCGTCTCCTTTCAAATCCTTCTTGTCTTGCCATTCATGAACAAGACCGTATGCTCACTGGATGCAGTTAAAATAGCACCCTAATATAACCCAAGAATAAGTCAACAAATCGTAATTTAAGTGAACTTATCAAGCTTATGTCTCTCATTTTCCTGTTCTCTGAATGAACTCCATCGACTTGAAGCTAAGTTGCTGAGTCAGTCAGCTGGTAGGAGCAGTCAGACACCGGAATGCCATTCAGGAGTTAGGATACTCCACTCTTTCTGCAACCATCACATTCACCTGTCTTAGTTCAGCCACACCCACTCTATCAGACAGTATTCAGCATCTAATGGCACGACAACTGCGAATTCATTTATTTATTTGTTTTATTTAACGATGCTGTTACTAACTCATATCATACAGCTTCCAGATACATGTCAATGTTTAATTCTGACAGCAGTCGTGTGTGATTTTTAGGAAGTATCGCAGGATTTTGCTTAAGGCACTAAGGAAAGCTACTTTAAACCGCTGAGCTGACAGATAATATTTATTAACGTGTTCAAGATATTTCTTGTGTCATCCCTTCACTAAAATAATAAGCATTATTTATTTTTCAGTGCGTAACAGTGAATTTTGAAGTTCACAGCTACAGGCCTGAAGATCCCAGAGTGTGTCTAAAATATGCAGGATACAAAAATGTGTTAACAGCTATACATTAAAAAATCAGGTAGTCTGTTGTCGTCTTAGAAGGACACGAATCTGGTATCTGGCAGCATTCATGCAAATGTTTTTATCGTGGCTTCGAGGTCATTATTAGCCACACAAT